ACCGTTCGTTCCACATAAAGTCCATAAAGACCCCCACAGTCAACATCATCAATGTCTTAAAAAAATGCCACGATTAGCAGCTAAAACATGTGTAAAGCCTGAACATTGAGTAAATAATCAATTACCCAACTTCTGTTTCATTTCACTTACGGAAATTGACCGAGAATCTGAGACAAATAAATCAAGCAAGTCATGTTGCTTGCCATGCCTTTCTAAACCAAAATATTTTTTCTTTAAAAAGATTATTTTCGCCCCATAAAAATGACGCATTCATCTTCAACTTCCTCCTATGCTCTTAATTCAATTCTTATAAATCATCTTAGATCCACAAAAATACAGAAAAAGTATGGGACGGATGAAAAAGAATTGTTAGAAACATGGGTTGGGATGTAAAAGAACAATAAAGATCCATAAATCGTTCATGGATGCCTTTTAAAAATCCATAAATTTGTAACAAGCATCAATACATAGTCATAAAATTTAATTTTTAAGGATGAACATGTACTCGAAAGTTGAATCTCTTCTTTTATGCTGATAAATGTATCCTTAAACATTTGTAATTTATAGACGTAAAGAAAGTTGGTCCACAAGAAAGGGGAACAATTTTTGGAAAATAAAAATCATTTGTTGTCGCTTCTTTCCCCCAAAAAAATAACCCGACTGTGCGTGTTTAAAGATATTTTTTGGATGCAGAAATTTATTGAGGAACATATTGTACAAAAATATTTTTCCTTTATCGGCTTGACTGCTGTTGAAACATTGCGTCTGCATATGATTTAATTTTGTAAATTGCCTTCAAGGAAAAGAAAGTAAAATGCGGCATCACGAAAGATTATATAGTCGATGATTTAGGGAAATATTCGTTCGGATCTTACTTGACGTGTTCTCAATAGCTGCTTGGATTTTTTATTTAGAAGGAAGTGAAAGAAAAGGGGATAAATAGAGAGAGATTCTTATTGTCAGGATGGATTTAATAATGAGGGTTAGTCTATAAGTGGAAGGTCTGTAAAGTATTGGTTTTTATGGGACTTGTCTCGTTCCTAGACTTTCTAAGCTCGTACTCTTGCATTATACTTGCTTTTATCTCACAATATGACAATGAAAAATGCACAAAAACTGAGTTGTATTGACTTCAACAAAGAAAAAGTCCTCAAATTTGATTAGACTGAATTTGGGATTCGAACCCAAACCCGTTTGTTTAGAAGCCTGACACCCTAACCATTAAGACATTGTTACTTTTCTGTTGCATAAGCAAAAATGTCATTAAAATTTAATCAAATCTTCAAGATTAGACATCATTTATAAACAACCCAATACCTGACTAAGACAGTATAGGAATTTTCATTTTAAATGCTACTTCCGATAAAGGAAATATATGTTTGCATTCCTCATGCTGTTTACTTATTGAAAAATCTTTCTCCCTGAGAGAAAAACAACATTTAAATGTCCATTTTACTCTATTCATTTCCCCCAAAGCACAATCTAAGAATTCTTCAATATATTAAACATAAATATAACATCTAAACCAGCATCTTTTTAGGTCAGAGTGAATAAATTTCTTCCTTTCCGATGATCCCTAAATGAATTCACAGAATGTTTTTATTATTGAAAAATTCTTGTGTTGAAAGGAATTTTTATTTTATTGCATTATATGGAGGAGGATGAAAAAAGGAGGACGAAACTGACAGGCGGAATGAAGGGACTGTCTCACAATTCCTAGAGATTTTCTTCTTTTCTTTTGCATAAATATTTTTGAAAACATATTCGAATAAATGCAAATATTTCTCGGAGCTTGTTTTTAGTCATGCAAGGGTATGTCTGGTTTTTCTTCTTCTTAGGAAGTGTTGTTTAATGCTTGAAGAATCAGGTCAGAGATTATAAACGAGTTTCTTATGCTCTAAGGAATTATCGATTATAATCAAATTTTGAGTGACATATTTCCTTAAAATTGAATTTTGATGCTCATGAAGGCTAAGACAAGACTGTTGACTTACAGATTTACAGCTAAAAACTTGTTTTGAACTCCCTAATAAGCTTTATTTGGTGTAATAGTATGCAGCTCTTACTTTTGACTTCATTTGATGTCCAGATCAAATGCCACTCTTTGTAGAAGTCTGAAGCTGACTTTTTTGCTTGTTTCAAAATGTCTGTCACGAATATACAGTACAACTCAGTTATTAGAAGTACATTACACTAATAGCTAGTGATGCCATCATTGTTTAAGTTCAATAACACATACTCAACAAACTCTAGCAACTAAGTTGTCAAACTCGGAATAAACGACAGTCATACTTTCATGGTCACTGACTTCTTACTGACTTGAGTAATCAGAATAAAAATTTAAATCCCATTCCCATTCAAATGTGCCATCATTTCCTCAAACACACGACTCCCCAGAACATCAGCATTATTAAACATTCCCATCTTAATTGAATCAGCCCATCCACATTACAAGAATGTTCATTAAGTAAATACAAAGTAGAAAATTCATAATAAATTGATGCTTAATTAACCAACAAAAAAGGGATGCAAAATTGTTCGGGCAATTAAAAATTTCCATTATAAAAGTTTTGTGAAGGAACTGAAAAACAAAAAATTCTGCGGTCACGAGCACCTGCAAAAAATGAAATTTCATTACACAAGGAATGAAGACTTTGTTGCTTTTATGAAAGCATCGTGAAATTGAATAATAATTATTCATTAAGGTATAATTAAATTCTTTCGCAACATTGTTGGTTCAAATAGGCAAATATGTTTCCGGAAAGTATTTTTGCGGAGTAAAATAAAAACCATAATTAAATTATGAAACTTGAGCACATTTTCTGCTCCATAAATTCCAGACGCATATCTTTCTCTCAAAATCAAGATTGTAATTTAGTTCCTCCTTGCATAATTTTCATTCCTCTCCTCCTACTTTAATTTTGTATTCATTCTTCTTACTTTTTCTTATTATTCTGTTGCGTTTCATTCAAAATTGAAGGGAAGGAATGTTATTGAGAATGGTTATTGGATGTTGGTGATCTAGTGCGCATTTATGCTACTTATTTTGTTTGCTGTTTAGTTTAATTTTATATTATTGGAACTTTTTATCAAAAACAAAGAATTTAAATGAATAACCTGCAAAATATAACGAAGTTTTAAAATTCAAAAATGTAAAATGAAGTCGCACAAAAATTTCTTCATATTTAAGAATTTTAATCAGTTTATTCTTTAATTAAGCATTTTTACTATACAAAATGTGTATCAAGTTTATCTATAGAACGGCAAAAGTATTTAAAACTTAAACTTGAGCTTCACAAGCCTCAAAATCTCAAATTACAAATAATTCAAATTTCAAAACATTTCCATTCGATTGAGCAATCAAAATACTGCAAAATGACATCTGCATACCTCGATCCATCAATAAACAACTCAACCACCCAAAGTGAACAAAATGATTGGCATGTTTTACCTAAAACAACAATCAAAAAACTTCTCATCGTTTAACAACAATTTTTCTTCCCTTTACGACGTTTTATTTTGATGCAATCGCATCAAGATTATAATAAATATTTTTGCTGATGTGCATCGCATCATTTACATTTTCAACCTCACTTCAACCTCTTCAGAAATCTCACTCGGCTCGAGTTTTTTGATTTGATTGAGAAAACACAAAAAATACAAAATGAGAAAAAGAATTTCGGGAATTTTTTTTCTCATCGCTTTGCCTTTTTGTGTGCTGTTATTTGAGACTCAATCACGAAAATTTATTATTGTGCATTGACATATTTTTATTTCATTATTATTGATTACTCACATAAAGCACATTTATGGATAAATGGGGAATGCAATTAAATTTATTGATTGACTGCTAAATAAATGTAATTTATATTAATTTTTTACATTCTTTATTTTGTTGCCTTATGAATTGCTAAATGGCTTATTAAGTTTATTCATCGAGGGTATTGTTAGCGGTTCATATGGAGATAATTTTATAGCTGTAATGAAAATACTTTAAGTGCCATAAAAGCATTTTTTTTGCGCATGCAATAAGTTCAAAGAATTTAAAGTCATATGATGACGTCATTCATTTAATGGCAAGGGAGGGATCGAACTCGAATTTCACATAAAAATAAAAATTCAGCCTTAGATTATTGGTAATTAAACAACATTGTATGCATATGCTGATATTAAGCTTTTGGCACCCACTAATCGATACTTAAATGCACTGGTACTGGAGCATATCAATTACATAAGAATATTTGCAAGCTGTGGATTTTATTTGCATAGTGAATGAACCGGATTTGCGAAATAAAAACAAGTAGCTATAAATATACACAAATCGAGGTCTAGTCGAATGTGTTTTGACATGATAATTGTCCGTGGATAATTGTTGAGTCAATAAAGGTCTTTTTTGATAGCTTTTGAATTGAATTTTTGTGTTTATTTGTATCCTTGATATGGATCGTTTTTCTTGTCCTGTTTTGGAGGATGTAAAGTTGTCTAGAACTTGCTATAGGTCTTTTTCTAGCTTTTTAACTAGAGTTGATTTAGACATTTAAAATAAAATAAGATTTGAAGGCTTTTGGATTTAAAGATTAGCTCTAAAACACTTTTGCCGCTCTGTTGAATGGTTAGACAATCATTTGATATGGAATAAGTGCTTAATTAGAGAATAAACTAAGAAAAATTCTTAAATACGAGGCAAAATTAAACCGGCTCCATTTTATTTTTTGAATCGTAAAAGTTCGTTTGAGGTAAATTAGAGTAATTCCATTCTTTGCTAGAACATGAGAAATATTTCAAAAATCCGAAACATCCAGTTAGCCATAAACAATAAAAATTAATTAATCAACATTCAAGCTATAAACTACATAGCCTATGCAGTTCATACTTCAGAACTCCCACAGACATGCCATATCAACATTTTTATACAGTCTGAACAGTCATAAAACCATTGAATAACAACATTTAATTAATAAACTTACTAATAAACATGTACTTTCTATATTTATTTGTAGTATGCAATTTGAACGTAATGCATTGAATCATTCAACGAACATCATCTCATCAAAAGCCCCATCCTTTAATTCCACATCCAATATCGATACATTGAAGTACAATCTCTTTCATCATAGCTTGAGTAACGAAAATTACGTGAAATCTCCATCGACAACCAGCTCAGAGGAGGGTAACTCACCGACTGAGCTGAACAACTGCCGGAAACTATTGGAGAAGCCTCCTCTAGTGAGTAATAAATGCAATAATTAAGATTTTTATTAACCAGAAGCTGGTTTATTAATATTTTAGATCCTTTTATCATTTTTATTAAAGGTTAAGCGTCTTACGATGGGAATTTTAAGGACACAAGAAGACAGTCGACCACTTGTACACAATAAATCATCATCAATAACATCATCCGACTCAATTCAGACAATCTCTGATGGCTATGTGAATGAGGGAGTTTGTGATTCAGAAAAGACAGTCAGTAATAAGTTCGGTGACTCCTGTAGACAATCATTTAATCATCAAACATTTCAAATGCAACCACTAACATCATTAAGTAATCCAATTCCACTCAATACACTTAATCTTAAAAATGGACCGAAAACGAATGTCATAACGACATCGGCAACTGTTCATGCCAGTGATAAGACAACAAATTTTAGTGCAAGCTATAATTACAATGAGACTAATTTTTGTGACTTTGACTATAAAAAGAGTTTCAGTACAGCACCGTCATCACCAACAGATAAACGGATTGTTCCACCAATTTTGCCACTTAGAAATGATGCTTTAACATTAGCTGAACAGAATGACTTAAAAGGTGCGCCGTGGTTTCAAGCAGGTTTACCAAGAGAAATATCCTTAGAGATTCTATCGCGTCAAAATCCAGGCGCATTTCTAGTGAGACAAAGTGAATCAAAAATGGGATGCTTTGCATTATCTTTGCGCGTTCCGGCACCGTCAAAGAATAAGGTTGCACACTATTTAATCCTTAGAACACAGCGGGGATTTAAAATAAAGGTGAGAATAATAGGATTAAATTATGATGGAATATTTTTAATTATGGAAAAACTTTTTCTATAGGGATTTACAAAAGAATTTTCATCATTACGAGCATTAATCACACATCATTCTGTCATGAAGGAACTTCTTCCCATTCCTTTGAGTTTGCCACGTCAGCATGAAATACATCAACGACATGATCTCGATGATTTAGATAATCTTTGGTATATTAAGTAATGTAAATTATTCTCATTAGATGTGCCGTAAACCGAAGGCATCTGTGCAGCTAAGGGGGATCGTTTGGATGGCATGGAGCTGCTTCCTTCCTTCCTCAACGGAAAATTTAAATAAGGTTGTTCAGTTATGATGTCATATGACGTAGTGGAGATATATCCTTCAGACGACATAATTGGACCCCCTCAAAATAAATCAAAAAAAGCTAGTAGCTACATAGCATCGAAATGACCCCCCAAAAAATACATTAAACAAATCTTAAAGTAAATATTTTTGTATGGAGATGAAAATAGAGAAAAAGTGATAATGAAATATTATTTAATTAGATTTTTCTTTCCAATTTTTTCTTCTTCTTAAAATAACAATCAATAAAATTTTATAGCCTATTCTACTTATCTCTCTTGCTTCTCAAAATAATTTTTCTTTTTCGTGCAAAACCTGTTGAATTATTTTTATTATTTTTTATATGCGGCGTAAATTCTTTAGCTAGTCAATTGATTGAGAAGCTTGTGAAATTATGAGTTTTCATTATAAATATGATTGATGTTCTTATATTATTTCGATAAATTAATTAAATAAAATTGAATTATGAATTATTGATAAATTCTTTTGGTTTTATTATTCCGTTACAAAATTATTTGAATCTGAAAAAAATGGTTATTTAAAAATCAAAACCATACAAATGTTCACAATCCAAAAACATTTGTAAGGTTTAAAACAAAAATTCAAATATTTTAAATAACGACTTTTTAATTCATTAAATTTCAGACACGACCACCTTTGAATATTATCGATTTTTTTCCGTGTGCACTTCTATGTTTTACTGTGACAGTACTTCAAACATATTACAGAAACATCAATTCTTTTATTCCCTTTTGTGAAAATAGAAAATGTATGGACTTTTATTTTCTGCTTCGTGTAACTCGTATCCTTTAATGCACAAACGCGAAAAATGCACTCCACTTAAGCACGTCTCGTTTTCTTCTATTATGCCTTTTTCATATGCATGCACATGTACAGCTTTTAAGGTTTTCACACCTTTCATTCGTGAGTTAGAGTATTAGTAGTATTTAAGAATGCATCGGAATCGGAGTGAAAATAGAATTAAACATGTGGTCCGACCATCAGCACCAAGCGAATACACATTACAAAAGAATGTCGAATTTAATGGAAAAATCTATTCCTACGTTCAGAAGTTAAATTTATTATCACAAAAGGAACAAGACGAGTTGCGAGACTGTGCATGGTTTCAAGCTGGATTACCACGTGAAGTATCACTGGAAATCCTCCTACAATTGCAGCCTGGAAGTTTTCTCGTTCGACAAAGTGAGACAGTGAGTGCCTTTGCATTGTCATTGCGCGTACCAAACGTAAACAACTTGCCAAAACTAGCACATTATTTGATAGAAAAATCTGAAAATGGATACAGATTCACCGGCTTTTCAAGGGAATTTCCATCAATAAAAAGTTTAGTTGTTCATCATTCAATCCTGCGAGGACACTTACCAGTTCCATTGCTCCTTTCCAGAGCTCAAGACTTTGTAATACAGAATTTAATCGTAGACGAGTCATCTGAAAGTGACACAGAATTAGAAAAGACATCGTCGTGCTTTTGTAAGAAGTAGACTTCTTTTATTTTACCGAAAATTCTCAATTTTGGTATAATCGTTCTGTATCTGTTTTGATTATCTCAATACGTACACCATAAAAGTGCAAAAAAGCTTTATAGTGCTCGTGTATATAATATAAGAACAATATAATTTAATGTACTTCCTTCTCTCCATCTCTTTTTTTCTCGACAATTAATGAACATCACCCAGTATTTTTAAATTTTTTTAAATAGAACTTAAGATGTCGTTCACTTGTGATGTCACTGAAAAATATGATTTTCTCTCTATCTTGGATGCTAGTAAATGAAATCTAATTGCATAATAAACTTGACTGTTTTCATGGGATTACGAGATTTGATAATTTAATTCCAAAAATCGCAAACTTCCCGCTTCCAATAAATTATGAACATCATAAGTGAATGACACCCGATCTCTTTTTCAACGACTAGAAATTCTCAATTCTAATTCGTGAAATTAATAATAGTTGAAGATAGCACATGATTCCTTAATTCTTAGAGTATTCTTTAACACAAACAAATATAATTCAATATTTCATACTAGGATGCAGCTAAGGCTCCCTAGTTATCATATCTAGCATGAAGTCATAAATATAGACATGATCGTAAATATAATTAAAATAAATGGAAATCAATACAATAATTTGAGCATCAGGTAAATTCAGAACCTGAGATTTTGTTTCTTCTTTATGATGGCTGAGACTTAGGAAATAATAGATAATTGAGAAAAATAAAATAAAATGTATACGTCTAGAAAATAGAATACAATTTTGTTAATTGTGTATTAATTTTAAACATTTCGCTTGAATTTAAATAAACTTATATGATAAGTACAGTAAAGACAACTTATCCGTGTATGAATATTAATCTGCTGTTGTTTTCCAACTTAATAACTCATCTAGTAAATTATCCATTATTGGATTTGGTCCTAATTCCATTACTTCGTTTCTCGCTTCCTTATCGAGAGCATCTAGAGTTTCACGTGTGTACCTAAAACTTCCCGTTTTCTCAAGCAATGATACACAGTACTTTTTCACTTCTACATCCCGAGTTCTTTGGCGCAGAATGTCTGTAAATAGCCATGATGAATTCATGTTAATTAAAATACAATAAAGTTAATTAAGATTTAGCAATTTTTTCAAATGCAGCTATTTAACAGTCATTTTGTTTTCAAATTTTTTCTTAAAGCTTAAAATTTTATCGACCGATGACTTTCAAATATATTATGACAGTTATTTTTCAAATCATTTAAGTTGGAAACAAAATTACATCCAGTTTATACTTACGAAGTACTTGCTTATCCAGATCTTGGGATTGAATTGCATGAATGATTGGAAAGCTGAACTTCCCTTCCGTTAAATCTTCACAGAAACTTTTATTCTCTGAATATTCTTTAAGGCTCAAATTACAATAATCATCACGAATTTGAAAGTATAAACCTGGAATATGAGAGTTTAGTCAAATATCGTCCAATGAACTCACATCCACTTACCAAGTAAGGCCGTTAATTTTGTAAAATCTTTTTTATTATCACAAAATAGGAGCATCAATCGAATTGCGAGCATAAAAAGACCACCTGTTTTTCGAATTGTCATTAGCTTATATTCAGCCTCTTCAGGACATAGGAAGTTATCACGCCAATAAATTTCCATTCCCTGTCCACGATGAAGTTCTAGAAGCTGTTCTGTATAAACTTTTGTCGCGTCTGGATGTCCGAGTTGCTGTACTTTCTCTAATGCAAGGAACAGAACATAGTTCGCTGAATTGATTGTACTAGCGACTCCATAAATTGAGTGTGCCACAGGAATTCCTCTACGTAAAATTGAATTATCCTCTATATCATCAATTCTATAATTTTTGTAGGATATGCAGAACAGCAAGAACAGGGAATTATTACAATATTGAAAGCATCAAACAAATTAAAGATTATTAATTGCATCAAACATGCTGTGATGGCCTACAAACACGTATACACGTGCCAATGTAAACAACAGCTTAGTGCTCAAGTAAACTGATTTTACACAAGTACACGATTTGGAGGTAAATTGTTAAATTCTAGCAACATGTGTGATATTTCCGATTTTCATAAATATAATAAGCTTTAGGTAAACAAACACTTACAGTAACGATGAATTATGCAGCATCTGGACTATTTCAGATATTTTCGCCAGCTTCTCTATTGGAATATTTAACCAATAATTAAATGCTAGTCCAAGTTTTGAGCGAATCTGTTTGCCGGGAATCTGCTTAATATAATGGAACGGCTGAAGTAAAGTCTAAAAATAGGCAAATGATTCACGTCAACAACTCGAATGACATTTAAACCTTTTATTTTGAGCAGCTGATTAATTACTTACTTGATCTTGTTTCTCCTGTTGTGATCGATCCTTACACTTCTCTAGGATGTCATTAAATTCAGTCATGTTGAATGAAGACATTGTGGATGCTTGATGCTTGAATACAGACTAAGTTAACTTATAAAAAATAATTCATATTTAAAATTTCTGACATCTATTCTCTAAACGGTCTACTGTGAAACTATGCTGGTTTACTCTTATTTTGACTTGCTGTCTCGCTGGATGACTATATTTATGGTTTTTCTTGACTTACTGGATGTTTCCTGTTGCTTCACTAACACTATGACAATTGAAATTTAATTCAGCTCAATTCAGCTGTAAAAATGTAAACAAAGATTGTTTACAAATTGAAAATTCATCACATTCATGTATATTTGGCACTTAAAAAATATTCTGTAGCAGCTGAATGAATTTAAAATAGTTTCTGATACTATTAAATACATGAAAGACTTGGAAATGTCATTTTTTTATTGAAATTTTAGAAATTGTAAATTATTTGAATTATTTTGAGTGTGTTTGTGTGAAAAGTCAAAAGTTCAAATTTGAAAAGACTGTTAAATTTTTAAAATGCGTGTCTTCAATATTTAAATGTTCTATTGATTTTTAAACTTGCAACAGGGGATTATCAACTTGTATGTCATGAAATTTTATAAGTAATCTTCAATTATTGTTATGAAAATCGCAAGAAAGTTGCTAATCTGATTTTAAATTTAAATTCATGTGTGGATACTTTAATTAAATTCAATTTAATGTTCTTGGGTTAAATTATAAGTTGAAAAAAATAGATTTGATAGTTGAAAAGTTCGTTGAACTTTAAAAAATTTCAAACTTATTGCATTTTAAATCAAATAATTTTGAAAATCAAAAAGGAAAGAACTAGCTCATTCACAAAAATAAACATCCTCAAAATGTCAAAAATAACGACATTTTAAAATTCAAAATCTTCATATAAGCGCTTTCTGTTTATGCTCATTTTTAATTCGGTATTTTTCGCGGGAAAATCATAGGAAAAAGTCGAGCTTTGATAACAATTTTTAAAAAAATATATTTAAACATCATAAAAGATAACGAAAACATTTTAATATAGTGTAATTAATAATACACTTTCTGTATAAAAAATTAAGTTTTTAAATTTATCTCAAAATATCAACATTTTTCAAAATAAAAACAAAAGAGCTAGTTTTAATTTAAAATAATAAAAAAAAAGCATTCAAAAAGAAGATGAAGTGTCAAATTCCTGAAATATCATGGCATAATAGAGATCCAGTATTATCAGTAGACTTTCAACCAAAATCTGAAGATTCAATAATGAGGCTTGCTAGTGGCGGATCAGGTATAAGTCATTACTAAACAATCAATAATAAGCTATAACTTACATCCTGTTTACAGATTCTCATGTTATAATATGGTATGTGATAGAAGACGACGATGCAGTCCGACTAGAACTAGCTAGTGACTTAACAAGACATCAAAAAGCTGTAAATTGTGTTCGATGGTCACCAAATGGGAAGTACTTAGCTTCCTGTGACGACGAATCTGTGATTTTTATCTGGAAAAAGAAGGAAGACGATGGCTTTAATATTTTTGATGAGAGCTCCGACAGTGACAAAGAAGTTTGGATCTCGTATAAAACGTTAAGAGGTCACATGGAGGATGTCTATGATCTGTCATTCTCACCAGATTCACAATTTATCATGTCTGGTTCTGTTGATAATACAGCAATGATATGGGACATCGAAAAAGCTAAATCGTGCTCCATTATTAGGGATCATAAAGGCTTTGTTCAAGGCGTTGCATGGGATCCATTAAATAAATATCTTGCAACGTTATCGACTGATCGACATTTTAGAATCTTTGATGTCAAATCTAAAAAGAATATCCAACGAAATCACAAGTCTATCATACCTGTATCCTCGTCAAGTCCATTTTATAAAAAGCCTATTCGACTATTTCATGATGACACCCTGCAAACATTCTTTCGGCGACTGACTTTTAGTCCAGACGGCTCCTTAATTCTCGTTCCAAGTGGCGTTGCTGAACTTGAAGGAAGTGACGCTAAGCCATTAAATACAACATACATTTATAGCAGATATTCATTGGATGAGTAAGTTGATTTATACTTTTATATATTTGCTAGCATCTGTCATTTAAAGACATGTGAAGGCGGACAGACATGTCTGGACTAGTTGTTGCTTATTGGATTCTTATTGTACCTGAATGCATGATTTAGTCCGCATGGAGATTGTTTCTTCATACCTTTATTTTTTAACCGAGCTTGAATTGTACAAAAAATATGTTACTTTACTTATCTGATTACTGCTAATGCTTGTGAAGTATATGAATTATTATTTTTTTTTTATAATTAATCAAAAAAATAATCTTTCTTTATTTCAAATTTGGAATTATTGTAGTTTAAGTTACATTTCTTTGAGTCTTATTTTAACACCAGCCTGAATATGGCTTTATTTCAACTATATCTTGATTAATTATTAATTTTGATGAATGAGATTTACATATATCATGAAAATGTGGCATAAAAAGTTTAAAAAAATTGCCGAGCGAGAAAAAAAAAAGCTTTTTTTAAGCTTATGAACTACGTTAATAAATTATTTTTGAACTGGCTTGTTCGGTGCTGGTGGGCAGCTCATGAAGCCATACTTCACTATGAGTTTAAATGCAGTTCCTTAACTGCAGAACTGATTTATTGCTTCTTCAATGTTGGGGATTCTCTTTAGACGTTCTTGAGCTTCTGTGAATTTCTTGAAAAGGCTTTCATTCTTTACTGCTTCGTTGAGTTTCTCTGCATAACTGATATTATTGATTTTGACTTTTCGATTCTTTTGGAATACGAAATGAACGATGGATATGAATTAATGCAAACTTTTTCTTCCTTTTGTGTAATTTTATAGATTTGATTTTTAAAATATCTTTTATGAAATTACATACTTCACAAGCATTTATAGAAATGAGATACTGTTAAAAATGTTTTTCTATGTTTATATCCTTAGATTTAATTCTTAATTATCAATTTCAGACCAGCTCTTGTGCTCCCATCACCTGACCAATACACAGTAGCTGTTCGTTTCTGTCCAATCCTTTTCGAGCTAAGGAATAGTAAGGCAAAGCCAATAATTCCACTTCCATATCGCATGATCTTTGCAGTGGCCACAAAATGCTCTGTTTATTTATATGACACACAACAGAAAATCCCATTCGGATTAATATCAAATATTCATTATACTAGATTGACTGATTTATCATGGTCTAATAATGGTAAAGTTTTGCTCGTATCCAGCACAGACGGATATTGTTCCATTGTACACTTTTCAAATGGTGAATTGGGTGAGATTTATAAGGAAAAGAGCCTTCAAGAGATTATTGATGCTAAAACAGTCAAGGACTGTGAACCAAAAAAGAAAAAGAAGGTCAAGAAGAATGGAAGGTTTAATGGAGATTTAAACAAGTCTGTAAGTGCTGAGGATAACAAAATGGATGTCGAGAATTATGAAAATGATGAGAACGAGGAAATGGAAGTAGATGACAATCAAAAAGAATCAGTAGACAAAATTTCACTCGATAATCTGCCAGAATCAATTAAAGAGATGATTCCAGTTGATAAAATAATCAAAAGTAATGAAATATTCTCTCCTGAGAAGCAAGTCGGTTCACCAGCAACACCAATTCAAGTAAGAAAATGTCCGAGAGTGCCAGAAGAATTAAAAGATTCTTCAGAAATTGATACAAACACGACTCCAGCTAAATCAAGTGACCATAATAATACAGAATCAAATGCCACAACACCAAAGGCTTCAATATCAAGTAAGACACCTAATCGCATAGAAATAAGAAGATATCCCCGAACATTTGCACAAATTAATGGAACTGCCAATGAAAAGGAGAAAAAGGTGGAGGAATTAAAAGATAAGACAGAGGAAAATTCATGGCCAAAGCCTATATTTACGTCCACATCGCCTATGGAACGAAAGCTACAGCAGTCAAGTGAGAAAATAAATTCGATTGAATCGCCTAAAACCCCACGACGAGTCGAGTTTCACACAATAGCTCCTAAATCCAAGAAGAAACTCTTGTAATTTATGTTTAATTAAATCTGTTTTGAATACTTTAGCTATTAAATCATATCTAACAAAACGAAAACATAGTTAATAAAGATTTTTTTGTTTCATCTTAGTCCCTTTTGAAATTTATTTGTTTTAAACTTTAATATTTTCACGATTATGTCAATCAATAATTTTGTTTATTATCAAGTGAAATTCCAGAATTGGGTGCTTAAAGCTGCAATAATGATCTATACCAGCATGATTATCAAAACTGAAGAGAAATGTCATTTAATAAATAAAGAACTGGTTCGTATTATATAACGTTTTTTTATAATTTAAATTAAATCAAAGCTTTCAAAAAAAATATCGTTAAATTTTCAAATTTTTGGTCATCGTTATTTTTCAAATATTTCTTGACGGTTATTTATACTTATTTATTTTACTAGTTTGAAAATTTAACGAACTTTTTCACATTATAAAATCTCTTACAATTTTTGATTCTTTTTAGAGCGACTGTGAAGACTGAAGCTGAATATTAGCACATATCAGATATATTTTGTAAACATATAAAATGAAATTAAATCTTGCGTATAAAATAATTAATTTTCTTGCCATGTAGTCAACAATCTTAATGCTTTCTGTAAATTATCGATAGCTGTTGGAACGTCGTCATAAGTTATTGCACTTCCAGCGAATTTAATCAATTTCTGGGCTCTAATCATTACTTCTGGTGAAGCAGTAGCTGTTGTTGATTGAGGCTGATTAAATGGAATATTTGATGTACGTGGATCAAAAGGAATGAAGCCTCCTGGATTTTTCTCTTCTGGATCTTTTGGTGGACTTGGAGCACGAATATGTAGGAACGGATCACTTCCTGCTGGAATCTGACCATATCCACTGCTTGTTGGTGGATCTTGAGGAATTGAAGGCTGAGTTGGTTGATTATCGTAAGGATTTGTGTTCCATCCGAAATTTGAAGATGATCCTGGCTGATCATTATTGCTTCCTGAATTGGCACCGCCAATATTAATCAATTCATCGTCATCTTCACTTGGCATCGGACCTGGATGAGGAGTTTCGCCATTTTTAAGACAATTATGAATGTATGCAGCCTTCCATTTTGCATATTTCCTCTGCTGCTTAGCTTCCTCGCTTAATTCACCAAATGTTGTGCATATATCGTAAATCATGGACGAGGTATAAAAAGATTTGACGACATTCTTGCCAAAGTTTGATGCTCGATCTTGCTGATCAGCATAAGTGAATAGCTTGTGAGCATAATTTTCAAGATAGGCTTGCGCAACTGTGTCATTTGCTATGTAATTAAGGAATAATTATGTCACTGGATGTTTACTTGCACTTTTAATTTACTTACTAATCGATTCATTTTCTTTATTTGCTTTCTTGAACTTTTCTAGCCAATCCATAATTTGTAATAGAAATGCCTTCTCATCTGGTTGTTTTGCACTTTTAATGCCTGTCTGCAGTGAATATACTCTTGCCCAATAAGCCACTTTAAATAGATGAATTATCAAAATATTCAGATGCTCATTAATTTCACAAATTTACCGATAATATCACGTTGATCATGTTCAGCTCCAATCTTCAGGTAGGGTTGAATCACTTTAAGGTTTGGTGGTGCTTCTGCAGCCATTATAATCTGTTTAATTAAAGTACTTTTATTGAAAAATTAAATTGCTGTGAATCAGCTTTGTTTATTACGCAGAGAAATTACGTACACACGCAAACAAAGCTGTTTCCCATAAGAATATGTACAAATAAATTCTTTAAAAAGTACGCTTTTAAATTAATTTTTATTAACGTCTTTTTTGAATTTGAACAAAATAAAACCGCGAGAACTATTCATAGTTTAAAACCCCGCAAGAAGTGAATGCTTTAAATAATTAAAATAATAAATATATTAGTTAAAACTGTGATTTAAGTGCTAAAACCAAACTCATTACATCAATAGACCTGCAAACCTCATAAGGTAAGTGAAGTTTGTTTAAAAAATAAACGATTTTAAGGTAAAAATGGCAAAATTACAAAATAGATTTTAAAAATCAAGTAAGAAAAGTCATGGATTTATTAAGCGCATTACCTGAAGAGATTTTTAATGAAATTGGATCATATTTGAATGGCAAAGACGTCCTTAATTCTACACTCGTCTGCAAAGGATGGAATCAAATGATAGGGCAGTCTAACGAATGTATGAAGAAAATAACTGCAAAATACACAAACTATAATTACAAAATTGATCTATCAACACTATTAACCAGTGAACGTAAATATCAGTCAATACATGGATTTTCATGTTGAGCTGAACATAAAAGCTATTTTGAAAAAGTTTTCGAACACAATCATTACTTTGGAGACAACACATGATATTTGGGATGTATGCGATCTACCAAGATTGAGGGAACTTGATTTTGTCAGCACATCAAATATTCATCCTTATTATCGCAGATACTTAAAATATTTTGAATCAAATGGATTAATAGAAAAATGTCCTCAAATTAAAAAGTTGAGTATTAAGAGTCCAGATATGCTAGATGAAAAGTCACTGATGATTGCTCAATTAGCCTTCAGAAACATGCAAAATCTAAAATCACTAACTGTTAATGAGCCCGAATTTATCCAAATTTCTGAATGCTGCTTTAGACTTGAAGAAATTAATTTAAAAATGTATAGCACAGATATGAATTTTTTGAAGGCTCATCAATCGACATTGAAAGTTATTAGGATTTATACTGCTTCTTTTGATAATATTGCAATACTTTTGACAGAATTTCCTAAATTACATACACTGCATATTAAAGATTTAGGTTTAAACTTCGGTAATGAAGATTTCGCACAGAACGAAACTATTAAGAACTTGATTATCTCAGGCTATTCAAGTTCAAAATTACCTAATATGTTGATCAAATTAAAGAAGCTTGAGCACTTAAAATTAAGGGAACTAAGTTGGGAAACAATTTCTGCCACCACACAATGTTCAGCACTCAAGACGGTCGAATATCAGAAATGGTACTCGATGATTAACAATGATCAAAAGAATTGGATTAAGAAAAATCTTAAAGTACGATTAATTAAGAGACGATTCAAATACGTTTATACTTAAGTTTATTGGTTTTAATGACAATATAAGATTCTTTTAAAATGTCAATTCAAATAAGTAAGTCACGAAAAAGTGTTCCAAATATCGATTATAAAATGTAAACATCAATTAAGTTGATTAAAAGCGTAAATTGTAACGTTTATAAGAGCTACGTAAGCACAACCTTTCATAAACCAGTACGCAAAACAGTCGAGCACCACATAAGCTAGCTAACATATATTTCCAATTTTCCCTCATTCTTAATGTGAAATTTAAGGAATAAACATGAAAATCGGACTGCTCGTGTTATTATTAATTAGTGTGTATATAAGTTCAATAAGTGCAGGTTCGTAAAATGTCAATTTAAATTATTTCAAAAATCTTGCACAAAAAATTCTAAACTGAATTAATTAAAGTTGTGAAAATGATAGGAAATAATGTAAAATCTGTTATGAATCAATAGTAAACATATTGTAGAGAACATTAGTGATAATATCCGCAATAAACAAGAAGAATTGGATGCATCGGAACTGATAAAAAGCAAATAAAACGTTAATTCAGTTTTTTGGGTGTTTTCCTCCTTTAAGTGTGTTTGTGTATCACATATTAATTAACATATCGCTACGGCTGTTTGTGTATGAATCAGGTGTAATATGCTATGCACTATAAAAACTATTAAAATAAGACTTGAATGAAAAAAAAATCAAAAGTAAATTTATTGTCGGGAAAAATTTCATCAGCAAAAAGGAAAAATGTGCCGCACACACGAGAAAAATGCGAGAGGAAAAGCTGTTCAGTTTTCCCGCAGAATCATCTCCGATCCAAAATATTCTCTCTCACACATACATACAAAGAAACGAGTTATTATGAATCATTAATTGTTTTCATTGGAACCGCTCCGTCGTTTAAGGTGTCTCGCCAAATTATCACTAATTGAAGACCAATTTTCCTGCTGCCTATCTACTGATAATTTCGAGTTCAATGCTCGCAAAAGCGATTTATGTTATTAAGCATTATTATCTATGACTAGTATAGACATAACGTATTGTAGTGCCTTCTAAGAGGGGAGAAGTTATTTCCTTTATTCTATAATTTATGAGATTTAATAATCCGATTTAAAGGAACAACTTCTTCTTCGTCATCAACACCTTTTCCAAAAATAAATTAAGGAACTTCCTTATAAATTGCTGTTGCGTGTAGAAATGTGATGAAAGGAGCGGTTTGAAAGGATTATTGCTGCATTGCAGGCTTGTTTATCTTTATAGCTATTGTTCTTCAACGATCTCTAAAGTTCTTGATGCGATGCACATTTTTCAGATGTTTTGTCCCATGACAATCGATAAAAAAAAGACATGACACATAAAAGAGAGGGATTTCAATCGTATTGTTACACAATAACAGTTTCAAGTTCTTCTTATTCCTTTTTTTATTAAACCGGCATATGGTAATGTACTCTAGAATGAGTTTTATGCTCTGCTATCATATCATGCAGAAAAAATTGAATGGGTAGTTTTTGACGGGTTTTGATGGCATTTACTAGAGAGTGGTTGGTTTGTTGAGCATGGTGAGATTGTTTGACTTAAATGAACTTGTTGGACATTGAGGAACGTAATAAGTAAACTTGGTTTGAGTGTGAGAATCAAACTCGCACTCCTACGATTTCCGTTCGCACAATTATCATTAAGCTATAGTGGGTTGCTTGGAACCTTGACATAATGCCAATTTAAACAATAAATCTGTTCTGAACTATTCAAGTATACTTTAGTAATTGGTAAATCAAACAGACATCCAAAACTATATATATATACACAAATAATAATACTGCATATGCCTATCTATTCAGTTTAGAATATTCCACATATGTGCAAAAATATGATTCACTTCTGAAAGGTTGTTGTTCTTCAATGATGTTCAACTATTAAATTATGGGAGAGGTCTGTAGCTACTTCCAACAGCGATTAAAATTGAACATCATTTATGAACAACCCCAACTTATTACAAAAAGTAAATGTTCAATTTCCTATCCTTACATCCGTAGAAATTGATTACGATGACGACGACATTGAATGTAATGAACCATTATTGGAAGGAGCTGCATTGACGGCAACATCGTCACTCAACGAACGTGGACCAGAAAACGCACGACTGAATGGTGAGCTTTGATTTCTTATTTTGATGTTGCTGCACATTGTTTAGAGTTTATTTCTTTGATATCCTTTTGTTTTGCATATTTTATTATTAGTAGATTTATATTATTTAGTTCCGAAAATATTTCATTATAGTTTTATGAACTGTATTGTTGTTCCAATTTGTTTGACAGCTGAATAATGTATTATTAAGGGAAACTCCAAAGCAAAAGCCTAGCAAATAATCGATATGCAATGTTTGTGTGTGAATTTCTCGTCTCTCGAATTTTATTTTTGGCTCCTTTTGGATTCCTGCTATGACCCGATTGTTGTTTCTTTTCTCACAAAAAATCTTTAATCTTCGCATTCCGTACGAAAAAAAAAGTCAGTTTGAGGAGGAAGAAATGTTGTGACTTAATATACGTGTGCGATTTATTGTTATAACAGAAAGAAGTTGGAAGGGTGCCTAATTATTTAGAATGTTTTATATCAAATGTCCAATTATGACTTGCAGTTCTGAGCTAGCTCTCTTAGTTCCATGAGAATGTTAGGGTTCCATAAACTAGCTTTGTGATTATCACGTTTTGCTAGTAAAAAAAGAGTTTAAATCTCTCATCCGACAAAAGAAATTAAACAATTGCATGCACGCATTGACGACCGATGCTTCTATTTTTATATATTACATGCTAAACATTAAATACAATACACATAGAAATAAATTGTATTTTTAGAAGCGTCAACGCTTGAATGATAATTTATACAAATAATAGTAAGGCATGATGCAAGGGCAGACGTGTCTGATGAATATTAATGGCTATTAATGCTGATTATTAAGTGATTTTTTGAAAATTTCTTACACTTCACTTAACGGTTAAAATTTGAATTTCATGGGGGGGAAATAGCGCCAAAAGAGTTTGCGTAGTTGACTGCAGGGACGTAAACAAACCAAAATTCTCGTCAATTTCATTAATTAAGCTGAAAACAATAGATACAGGAAGTCAGTAATTAATCAAAAGTGTAAGAAATGTCGATAATTAACGGACACGCACGCTGGGCATTCGATTTTCGATCATGGAAGCCGACAATCCACGAATTAATGATTGCTGTATCTCTAATTCAGCCAGAAGAGAAGCAAAGAATCGCTCAGTTTGTATTCCAAGAAGATTTTAAGGCCTCATTAGCTGGTCGATTACTTTTACGTCATTTTACAAGATCTGCATTGTGCGTCGATAATAATTGCATAAAATTAGGAAGGGACGAGAGGAATAAACCATATTTAATGGATGTTATAAATGATGAGAAAGTTATTGATTTTAATGTGTCACATCAAGGCTCATATGCATGTCTTGCTGGTTATATTGCCAATAATAAAACAGAATCAAATGCACAACTTCGTCTTGGGGTTGATGTAATGAAAATTGAGTATGGCGGTGGAAAATCATTGAATGAATTCTTCCGGATAATGACTAGAAACTTCTCAGATAATGAATGGATGTACATAAAATCATTTGACACAAATCAGGGGAGATTGAAAGCATTTATGCGAAACTGGTGCCTTAAAGAGAGTTATGTGAAGAATGTTGGAACTGGAATTACGATGAATCTACAGAAATTAGACTTTAATTTTAATACACGGGAAGTGTTAAAGGATGGAATTGTGACTGACACTAAGCTAATTTTGGATGGCAAGTTGTTGCACAATTTCACTTTCGAGGAATCATTACTAAATGACGATCATTGTGTTGCTGTTTCCCTTCAAAATCAATCATCCGATGAAAATTCGTATAAATCATTTAACTTCCAGCTAATTAAATTTGAGGAATTAATCGGAAATGCCACGCCACTGACAGCACCCGATGAGGTTTATTGCTTGGAAATTTTGAAAAAGGATACGAAGAACTCATAAATATGCTTTTCAATACTAAAATATGGTGAAGGAACTGTTTACCTACCCTCGAAATTTATTTTTTGTGTATGCAGTCAATACAATAAGCAAAGAAGATTCAAACCAACAAATATATAAATTTTCAGTCAACATAGTCTGTAAAGGAAATGATAGGCATTGGAATTAGCATAAAACACAATCAAGTCACGAATAAACTTTTCTGTCAAGCGGTGACTAGCACGAGCATTCTTTTGATTTACCTACTTACTTTTGAGTCTATGAGTTAAAGACGAATTGTCACTTTTAATTTATGTCGAGCATTTCAACTTTCTTTCCATTTATGCTTTTATTCAACTGATAAATTTTTGAAACTGTTAGCATTGAATAGAAACATTATGAGAGTTTTTTTACTGTCTGTCTGTCAGACTGTTTTGCATAATTTTCAAATATTTATCGACCGTTAAAATTTGAATGTTTTTGATAAATAAATTTTTAAGAACAGTTTTTGCTGACTAGTTGAGCATCAATCTATTACAAATGACTTAGTCTATTCTATTTAAATGTGCATTACTTTTATCATTTATTGTTTCCATTGAAAAGAATCGTCGGAAGTTTATTGTGTACAAAAACATAAAGTTTACTCGAATGGCTCTTCATGAACTCACTGAGTTCAACAAAAATTATTTATTGCTATCTCTATTTTTATGCTCAACATATTGAAAAGTTTCCATCAATAAAAAATCAATTTTGACTGAACATGAAAAGGAAAATTAGGAAAAATTGAATTCTTCACTGACTCGACTCGTCTTTATTATTATGAGAAATGAAAACATTCTGTGATTTCAATCTGCAGACACAACAACAGCAATTAAAACAACTGTCAGGATCAATTTCTATGCCCCCTTTTTATAATAATGTTTTTATTCAATAACAAGAGAATTATTTTTGCACAGAGTAAAGGGACGAATTTTCAATCTTGTTGATTGATCTATTAAATTGGAAACTGGAAACATTGAAAGTAAACAAAAATTATTAACTAAAGACAGGGTTTGGTCATTTGTATTTAAACCGTTAAATTTATTTTCAAAAAATTCGTTAAATTTCAGATATTTATTGGCCGTTACAATTCAAAGATTTTGTGACAGTTCCAATTTAAACTTCCTTATAATGACCGATGCCTGCCTTTATTAGAATCATGAGACCTAAGCAATAATCAAAAGTGAAAGACAGTTTGACTATATAAACTACTTATTTAATGTTATCTGTGCAGTTCTTCTATCTCCCCTACCAAAAATAAACTCATTTAACAATAAAATTGATCTCATTTCGAACGAGAATTGCGTACGTCGAAGATATTGATCATATTCATGAAATAGAGGCAGAAAGTGCAGATATAGATTGTGTCAACCTTATGGCTACTTATAAATACTATTTAAAGGGACATTTTATGGTGTATGGAAAGTAAATAAATAAAATTTATGATTACGATTTAATATTCCACTCTATATTGTTTTTGTCGTACCCTCCGTTAAAGTGCAATTTTCAGTAACTAACCACAGAAAATTTATTAAAATAGGGATATCCATTCTCAGCCGTTCAATTTGAGAGAAATGAAAAATTCACACAAACATTTTTGGGTTTTTGAAATAATCGAGAATGTCATGCATCAATGAATAAAATTTGTTAGGCAATGTGCAATAGATTTTTAATAGACCTTATGCAAATTTGTTTGTTTTATTCTTACTACTCAACTTCCCTGCATACTGCATATATATTGAATACTTTTTTATGTCATAAAATAAATATTTTTAATGTCACTATTTAATAATGAAAAATAAATAACTGTAAACCAAATAAATATCAAGGTGGCAACGCGTGGACATCATCGATTTCTGATTTCCAACAATACTTAATCATCGATTTGGGATCACCAAAAAATATCACAAGAATCTCAATTCAAGGTCGTCCAAATCATAATGAGTATGTTTCTGAATTTAGCATAAGTTATGGATACAATGGACTTGATTATGCGGACTATAAGGAACCAGGTGGCAACACAAAGGTAAAAAGATGAGCAATTCAGCAAAATTTAAACAATAACATTTGGAAATGGTCGTAGAAGGAGCAAATTAAATAACCCGAAATAATTCCAGCTTATCATGACGCCTAAATTAGAGTTATTACTTTGCACAGAGTGGTTTTTCACACGCACAATATTTTTTGTTTGCTTTAATTTAATTACTCTTAGTAGAATGTAGAATGTAGTTGAAATTTTTAAATATAAAACATAATTTTATGAGTCATACACAATTTTTAAACGGAATTTATTTTAATTTGAGCATTTTAACTGATTTTAAAAATTCAAAATATTTGCTGTTGTAAGGTTTTGAATGTTTAAAAATACTATTGTACGGTTTTGAAATTTTAAAACTGTTGCAAGGTTTTGAATGTTCAGAAACATTTGTAGTGCTTGTAATGAAAGGTTTTTAAACATTTAAATAAATTAACTGTTGTAAGGTTTTAAGCATTTTAAATTCAAATAATCCGTTAAAAAAATTGTGTATGCAAAAATTGGCGTAGACATAAAACAAACCGCTTTACTAACATAATTCCATTCTCCTATTCTCTCTTTTATTCCTTTTCTAAACATTGCATTCCTCTCATACTTTAATAACATTACGCAAATAAATTATCTGTTGCTTCAACACTGTAAATAATTTTTTAACAAAAATAATAATTAATAATGGACATGAAACTAAAGGTCGATCGGCTTGGACACCAGTAGAAAATACTTACAATCACTATTTAACAATAGATTTGGGTGGAAGGAAAAAAATTAAAGAAATTGCAACACTCGGTCGTCCAAATTCGAAAGAATTCGTCACAGAATTTATAATTTTATATTCTGATGATGGAGAATTGTGGCGAACTTATACAGACACCGATGCACAAGATCAGGTTAGACGACTAACATAATTATCTATTAAATACTAACTTACTTGCAATTAACTTCCATTTGACTTGACATCAAACTTTACGTTCCAATAATTTAATTACCTTTTCTCATTAACAACAGCTCTTTAAGGGTAATGAAGACGGTGATAGAGTAAAGCACAACATATTCGATGTACCAATTATCGCACAATGGGTTCGTGTTAATCCCACAAGATGGAAAGACAGAATTTCTCTCCGTGCTGAACTTTATGGATGCCATTACTACGCTGAGACTGTTTATTTTAATGGAACAAGTTTAATGAGTCTTGATTTGCTCCGAGATCCGATTTCTGCATCACGTGAGACTGTTCAATTCCGTTTCAAGACATCACATGCCAATGGTGTACTTTTGTACTCGAAGGGCACTCAAGGAGACTTCTTTGCACTTCAACTCTATGAGAATCGAATGATACTCAACCTGAATTTAGGTAAATTTTGTTTATTTTGGGGATTTTGTTGTCAACGTTTGCGATTATTAAGTTTTTTTTTTGACAGTTTTTTTTCATATATTTTTTGACATCATTTGCGAACAAACCAATTTTGTAATATCTTAATCTAAACTTTTTAACATACTTTTAGGTTCATCCTCAATGAGTTCATTTTCTGTTGGCAGTTTACTCGACGATAATGTTTGGCATGACGTTGTCATATCCCGAAACAGACGTGACATTTTACTCTCCGTGGATCGTGTTGTTGTTGATGGAAAGATAAAAGGAGATTTCGATAAATTGGATTTGAATCGTATGCTGTATATCGGAGGTGTACCAACAAAAGAGGAAGGTCTTGTTGTTAATCAAAATTATACTGGATGTATTGAGAATTTGTATCTAAACACAACGAATTTTATATCGGAAATGAAGGCTGCATATAGTGAGGGACAATATAGTCGATTTGATAAAGTAAATACATTCTATAACTGTCCAGAACCACCAATAATGCCGGTAACATTCTTGACACGAACATCATATGCTAGATTAAAGGGATATGAAGGAGTTAAAGCTTTAAATGTGTCATTGTCATTCAGAACTTATGAAGATAAAGGGTTAATTATTTACCATGAATTCTCTTCGAAAGGATATGTCAAAGTGTATTTAGAAGATGGTCGCGTCAAGACTGAAATAAAGACAGATGAGAAGGAATTTCATAGCTCTGGAGATCGTCGTCGTGGCATAGTCCTTGATAATTATGATGAGCAATTTAATGACGGTAGATGGCATTCATTAATTCTCACAATTAAGCAGAATAGTCTCGTTATTGAGATCGATCAACGTCCAATGAGAACTGAGAAATTATTTTCAGTCATGACTGGTGCTTGGTACTACATTGGTGGCTCAAAGACTAAGGAAACTCATAACATTATTAATAATCGTGATGGATTTATTGGATGTATGAGACAAATATCAGTTGATGGAAACTTTAGGTTACCTCACGATTGGAAGGATGAAGATTTCTGCTGTAAAAATGAGATTTTGATGGATGCATGTCACATGATTGATCGTTGTAATCCAAATCCATGTAAGCACAGTGGACACTGTAAGCAAAACTCTTATGAATTCTTCTGTGACTGCGGAAATAGTGGATATTCAGGAGCAGTTTGTCATACATGTAAGATCATTATTATATCATTTTTATAGACTTTCATTTGTAATTCACTATTTAATTTTAGCATTAAATCCACTGTCATGTCAGGCATACAAAAACATCCAGTCTGTCAGTCAAAAAGCTCATATTAAAATTGATGTAGATGGGTCTGGTCCATTAGATCCATTTGAAGTCACTTGTGAGTTCTTATCTGATGGTCGTGTTCTGACTGTTTTGGGACATTCCTCAGAGCAATCGACAGTTGTTGACAGCTTCCAAGAGCCTGGATCTTATGATCAAACTATTGAGTATAATGCAAGAATGCCACAAATTGAAGCTCTACTTAATCGATCACGTGAATGCTCTCAAAGATTGACTTATGGCTGCAAATCTGCAAGACTGTTCAACACTCCATACTGTAAGTTTTTATTTTTAACGTATTTTCAGAATTTGAATTTTAAAAAGTTTTTGGCGATAAATTTTTCAAATATTTTTCGGTCGTTATTTATTTGAATATTTTTTGATTTTTCCAGCCGAAGGACAGACATTCACACCATTTGGATGGTGGTTATCACGTCAAAATAGAAGAATGGATTATTGGGCAGGTGCTTTGCCAGGCTCGAGAAAATGCCAATGCGGTATAGTCGGTAATTGCATTGATCCAACAAAATGGTGCAATTGTGATGCAAATCTCTATGACTGGCAAGAGGATGGAGGTGAAATTAAAGATAAAGAATATTTGCCTGTTCGTGGATTAAGATTTGGTGATACTGGAACTGCATTGGATGAAAAACAAGCAAAATATACTCTCGGACCGCTTGTATGTGAAGGAGATGATTTATTTAATAACGTTGTGACATTCCGAATTACGGATGCAACAATAAACTTACCACGATTCGATATGGGCCATTCAGGAGATATTTATCTGGAATTTAAAACAACACAAGAGAATTCTGTCCTATTTCATGCGAAAGGAAGCACAGATTACATAAAGCTGTCGATTATTGCCGGTACTAAAATAAAATTCCAATATCAAGCTGGATCAGGGCCATTGGGCGTAGACGTAGAAACAAGTTATCCATTAAATGATAATAAATGGCATTCAGTGAGTGTAGAAAGAAATAGAAAAGAAGCGCGTCTTGTTGTTGACGGTGCAACAAAATCAGAAGTTCGAGAACCACCAGGTAAACTTTATAGCTTTAATTACTTCCATCATCATAACAAAAATCTATTAAAAAACTTTTCCAATTAATAATTAAAAGGTCCCGTCCGTGCACTTTATCTTACATCGGAATTGGCAATTGGAGCGACTCTCGATTATCAGGATGGTTTTGTTGGATGCATTCGTGCTCTGTTGCTTAATGGAGTTCCAGTAGATTTGCGCTCATATGCTGAGAGGAAACTTTATGGCGTATCAGCAGGTTGCATCGGTAGATGTGAGACCAATCCATGCTTAAATAATGGTACATGCTTCGAGCGTTATGATGGTTTCACATGCGACTGTCGTTGGAGTGCATTTAAAGGACCTATTTGTGCCGGTAATAAAATATTATCTTTAACATCATAAAAAGATGGTTATTGTCTATATAAATGTTAAAGCTTTATATTTTTGGACATAAATTTTGTGGAGTCATGGAAACTTTTGCATAACAATAAGGTTGTATGAATATGCAAAGATAGTAGTAAACGTGACTTATAGCATGTGTTTTCTTTCGTATCGAAATTTAATTTTGTTTGTCTAAGCTTTTAAAACAACATGTAAGATATAACGGATTTTAGACATTTAAATTTGAGAACAACACAAACATCAAATTTAACGGTTTTCAGGAATTCAAATTATAAAACCATTCAAATGTTTTGAATATTCTAGAAACATTTGTATGGTTTTAAAGTTGAAATTCTAAAAAGTCGTTAAATTTAACATGGGAATTCAAAGCCGTATTTACGATAAAAATAATTGTACAAACGTTGTTATCCACAATGCTATCCTGTTACATGACAAAGGATCCTTAATTAACATTTCTAATCCCTATTAAAATTTTAATGTCCCTTCACAGATGAAATTGGAGTGAATTTACGTTCCGACTCAATTATTAAATACGACTTTTTGGGATCATGGCGTTCAACAATTAAGGAAAATATACGTGTCGGATTCACAACAACGAATCAAAAAGGATTTTTGCTTGGCTTTAGTTCCAATATTACAGGAGAATATTTGACAATTCTTGTATCAAATTCTGGTGCTTTGAAGTTTGTGTTTGATTTTGGCTTTGAGAGACAAGAAATTTCATTCCCAGGCGTTCATTTTGGTCTCGGGCAGTTCCACGATGTTAGATTTGCAAGAAAAAATTCAGGATCAACTGTCGTTATTACTGTGGATAACTACGAACCAAAAGAATATCATTTTGACATTAAAGATTCAGCAGATGCACAATTCAATAATATACAGTACATGTATATAGGCAAGAATGAGAGTATGACAGACGGCTTTGTGGGATGTGTCTCGAGAGTTGAGTTTGATGATATTTTCCCACTCAAGCTTCTGTTCCAACAGAATCCACCACCAAATGTCAAGTCAATGGGACCATGTAAGATTAAATTTAATTTATTAGTATTTTGTGTATGTTTATTGAATTTTGTCATTATTCCTGTTTAGCTGTCCTGTCAGAAGATTTCTGTGGTGTTGAGGTAATTATTTCATATATAATTTTGAACATTTTTCTAAAATCAACCCCTAATCTTATCACTTTGCATGTGTATTCTCTACAGCCTGTAACCCTTCCACCAGTTATGAAGGAAACTCGCCCAGCTCCAATCATTGATGAAGATAAGTTGCGTTCATATGATGGAATCAGTGCTGGATTTCTAGGAGGTATGCATAATTAATCATGTCCATATCCAAAAATCTCAAACTTATTAAATCACTTTCATCAAATTCAACAGGTTTATTGTTTATAATCCTTCTTTTGTTATTGATTATGGCCATATTAATCTATCGTCATATGTCACGACATAAGGGCGAATATTTGACTCAAGAAGATAAAGGAGCAGATGATGCTCTAGATCAAGACGAAGCTGTCGTTCACTCAACAACAGGACATCATGTTACAAAGAAAAAAGAATGGTTCATTTAAAAATAAAGAAGTAAGTCGAAGTTTGCGTTGTTGCCAATTTTTTTTAAGGACGAAACGATGTTCTTACCATGAAAAAATAGATTGAATCTCGTATTATATTATTTTTTTTACATAACAAGCACTTTGCATACCTACATCTTAATTATGTCTCTCATATCAGAGCTATCGTATATATTTTAAATGCTTCCATCTCCTGAATCCTCGTTATGGTGAGGATCAACAAGTCTACATTATCGTACTCGAAGAATCAGCTCTCATTGCATTTTTATAGAACATATGTTGTGCATGTAACTTTTATGTTCACTTATATTTTACATAAATCATTTGTGTATGTTAATATAAGCAGCATCCCGAGTGACTTGTTGCTTGCAATGTTGTACTTTTGAACTTTTTATTTGAATTTTCAATTTTTTTTCAAAAATGCTAAAATCTAACGGTTTACAAAAATTTGAATTTAAACGGATTTAAAAAATTTGAATTTTAACGGTTTATAAAGTTTTGTTCTTAAAATGATGACTTAACATTTCAACTTATAAAGTAAAACATTGCTGTCCATGTGCAACTCGGGAGCATTTTAAATGTAATGAAACTTTAAAAGTTTATCTTATGGATTCTTCATGTTTGGCTCTGGAACCATCTCTACTTATATTATTTTTTTACCGTATTATTTTTGACCGTCCATTTGAGTTTAATTTTTTTATACCTTTTTTTAAAATATATATAATTATTAATTAATGACTTTTTAAAAAAGATCTTTAGGATATTAAATAATTAAAAATTGTGACTTCAGCAATGTCTCTTTATTACTTTAATTAGTGAAACGAAAACAAATAAATATTAATTATTTTTGCTAAGCTATAGAAATCTTTAGAATTAAGGCTCACCTTTCTTACTCTAAGAAAAAAACTTTAAGTTATCTCCAATGATATAAAATAATAATAAAATTGAAAAGAAATCTCGTTTTTTAAGTAATTAAACACCAATTTTATCTTACTTCTGCTGGCGAAATTTAATTGACACTTTTACAAATTTTAAACTTTTTTTTGAGTCGCCAACATTCCAAGCAATTTTATTGAAATTTTGAATTGGCTTCAAAGCTAAAAAGGCATTGAACTTTAAACATTTTAATGAGCTGTCATAAACTTTACTAGCTGAAATAGTTTTAATTGCTATTTTTGAGTCATTTAAGGTTGCAGGACTTTGTCACAGCTTATAACTATAACATCAATCATTATCAGTGCTGTAAATTGAAATTTGAGAGCTTTGTTTCGTGATTGATGAAACAAAGTGGAATTAAGTAGAATTTATTGAAGTTAACAGCACAAAGCTCAGTCCACAGAAGAGTATTTAATGACTTGCCATTTTATCAGCTTCAGTTTCCTGAACAGGAAGTCACCATGCTCCTCAATCTCTTACACACTGATGCTCCATAATTCAAACTCGAATGTTTCGCATTGTTTAAGTCTGAATTCGCTCCTGATATGTTACTCATTTCCTGAATGCATGCATAAAAAAGTTGTCTTACATTTAAATGCTCTTTTGTTTGAGGATACAGAAAAATTTCCATGAACATTGACGTCATCCATGCATTTGTTGCGTCATAGAACAATCGATTGTAATTTATGCTAAAGATTGCACATTTAAATGTTCATGCTTGACTTGCTAGCCGATTTCAATTCTCGAATTATAATTGGGGTGCCTTATAAATATCAATATGTCTTTTGTTCATTTTGAAGCACTTCTTTTCATTAATTTTGTCAATAATGCTCCAATTGAGTTATGAGAGCTTCTCATTAATTCATAATTTAAGCTTAATCTCCTTTATTTCTACCCTTTTTTCAACGAATTTTAAATTGATGTAAAAAATGAATTATAAAAGCTGTAAGGATAGAAATTTGATGAAAAAAAGAGAATAAAGAAAAAATTTTACAATAAAATGAACAGCATGAGAGTTTTTAATCTTTTTAATCAGCAGTTCCTTTCATTTAGCAGATTATCAAAGTTGTGGGACTTCATCATCGCTGCATTATGTAATTGAGCTAGCTTTATAGTGTTGTTTGTTCATTCAATTAATAATTTTCAGATTATCAGCTCTTTTTGAGTGTTCCACAGTCTTTTGGTTTGTAAGAGCAAGTTATGGCAATTTTGAAATTTTAACGGGTTTGAAAAATTCAAATTTTAACGGTCGAAAAATATTTAAAAAAATTCGGATGTTGAAATAATTTTTCACAGTTGTAAAATTTTTGAGCTTTTCATAAAGGGGCCGTTCACATATTACGTTACGCAAAAACCGACTTTTTTCACCCCCTCCCCCCTCCCCCCCTTGTTGCAACATGTTACAACTCGCCCCCCTCCCCCCCTAACGTTCATAATTCAAATTTTTTTCGTGATTTTTTTTTAAAAGACAGGCGACAGTTAGAACGTTACATTATTCTTGACACCCCCCCCCCCCCCCCCATTGTTACATTTTGTTACAATTTTTCAAACCCCCCCTCCCTCCTAAAATTCGAATGTAATAAGTGAACGGCCCAAAAGATTGTAATCTGAAAATTTAATAAAAAAAAAATAATTCCACGTGCTTAAAAATTTTCAACTTTTATTTTGGGTTTTCCTTATTTAATCTTTAACATTTTGTTTGCATTTTCTCCTCACAACTTTTTTTTTTTTTTTAAAAATCTTTTTCAATTATTTCAACATTTATTTCTCAGTCAATTCATCATCATTCTTGTTTTTAAAAAAATCTTGAGCGTTTATTTGGAATTTTCTTATTGTTTGATGGGTAAGAATATTGTATTAAGTCATAAACTATGAGCTTTATTAACTTGTCTTCTTCAATTTTTATTGGAAATTAATTTTTGGCATCATAATTCATGAGATTAATTTTACTTTGGGATTCAAAACTTTTTTTCTGCTTAATTTTCAGACGTCTGCTTTCATATATTTCATTTACTAAATTAAATTCTATATTTGGAAGTAAGTTCTACATGAAAGTCATATTTTTTACTTTATGCAATGATTTTTGTGTCAATTCATGCTTTATTTTGTAAATTTTAACGGATTTTTTTTTTGCATTTTAACGGACTTTTATTTGAATTTTAATTGGTTTTATTTGTTCCAATTATTCAGCACAATTTAGCTGAATTCATTTTGAAAAGATTGAATTCATGCTTTTTCAAGATCTTTAAATGCTTTAAAAAGCTTCTTTTTTTAATAACAAGTAGGAAGTAATCCTTTGTCCATAATTAAATAAAATGTAAGTCAACGGCTTTGAGAATTTCAAAATTTTAGCTGTTGTGTGGTTTTCAATTCAGCAGATTTTTCATACAAAATTCAAATATTGTCCGTTACAAACCGACAAAGTTGACATGAAGCAACAAAAAATCCATTGAATGTCAACATTCTACAATTTTTTAAGAATATCCTACAAAAATCAAACTTATGCATGACTTTTAACAAAACATCTTAAATTTTCTTCGATGTCAGCTGCATATCTACATTATTTTCAGTTCAAAAAGTCTTTTAAGCTACAAAAACTCTGTTGAAAGTCATACAAAATTTCATTCTAAAATAAATTTAAGGATGAAGAAAGTTTCTTCATGTTGAAAAATCTTTGATAGAGTTTAAATTATTGTCTCATGACTTGTAAGTATTCTAAAATGTAATTACAGACGGTATTAATACAACAATGCACATGATGTCTTCACATATTAACAAATCTTATAACACATATGCCACATGTCCTTATTTCAAAGTCAAACGTGCTTGTTATTCTTTATTCTAGTTAACACATCAACAAACGAGTTGAGCGAATTGATTGGCTACAGTTTTTACTGATGAATGCTAAGTTTTTATGTCACAACATTCTAAATAATTGTTTCTCGTGTCACAAATAATATTACAAATAAAAATTGATATTACTTTTACAATCGATATGTTCAAATAAATTTATGTCTAGGTTCGGTTCAATTTCATCCAAACATTTGTTGTGCCTTTTTTGATTTCTTTTCAGTTATTTCGAAACAATATTTATAGAAATAAAGGAAAGCTTCTATTTTTATCTCTGTAAGAAGAATCCATTCATAGATGCAGAGTTGGTGGGAGCTCATTGATATTTAGGAAGGATATGGAAATTGGCTTGCTTGGCTTCTTGCTTTGTGAGGATCTCTAATCACACCAATTCGCAACATGTTATTGCCAACAGTTCAAATCATTCAATAAAATCCACATTTTTTCAATTAGAAAGAATTATTTTAACACATGTTTTGATCCATTTTTATGTATCATATCCATCAGCTGTATTGTTCATAATCCTCTTACTATTAGTATTAAAATTATTCAACAGTTTTTTGATACTCAAGGATATTCCTCATTGTTTCCACAAAGTTGTAAAGTTAATCCTTACAAAAAGCCAACTAAAACCTGTAAATCATTTATTGACCATTGGCAGCTTAAATTCAATGGCTTGAAGGATTTTCTGTTATGAAAGCTCACTTTGTTCTACATATGAGGATTAAAGCAATTAATGTTGAATCCCATCTGCATTGTATCATCAAAGTGTGGATGAAAAATGTGCAGAATTATATGAATGCGGCACAAAAACGTTAAACTTCATTAAGAAGACATGCATTTTAATTGTCAGGACATTCATCATGATGACATTTGCATGCTGGAGAGGTCAAAAAGTGGAAGTCAATGCTTTAGAATTTTAATTAAATTCCATTTAGTAATAAAAACAATTTAAATGATCAGTGAACCACCATCTCTGCCTAGAATGGGAATATAATGGCAATGGACATAGATGCTGCATTATGCAGAAAATTGTATCCTTGTCCTATTTCAATTGTTCATCTGTAGATATTTAAAAAATTACAAAAAGTTATCATGATATGGCTTTGTTGGATCTAGAAGAAGATATTAAAAATAATATACAGGTTTTTTCCTATTATTCATGGTCACTGGAAGTTTATAGAAATGAACATATAATGAATAAAATGATAATTGCGAGAATCATTAAGCATATATCTTTTCGTATGGTCTTGTCTCGATGTAATGGACGATTGATGAGAGCTTCACGCCTTAATACCACAATTGGAATAACCAGATGAAAAAGATCCGGTATCATGAATCCTAATTGCCGTATAGATTTAATTCAATAAATATCAATTAATTTGACTAAATTACAGAATCAATTACCTATATCCCTTACTATCTGATGCAAATAGCCTTCACCAAAAAAGACATTCTGTATGAATTGATCTGCACTGGCTGCAGTAATGTGTAATAAAGCTATGCCTATAATACATAATGTTTTACGTGACGTAACTGTATTCTCCTTATCACATAAATGAAGCACAAATGCTGTCGAAAATAATTCAGTCAACTGTCAAAAAGACATAGAAATAGGCAAAGATTTTTCTTTATTTAGATTGAACTGCATAATTTAGTAATCAAATATTAATATTAAGGTATATAGATGTGCTCATACTAAGAATATTGATCAAGGACATGATTTCGTATGCATCGGATGGGACTAATTTATCGTATGTCGATATTATTTGTCGTTCGGATTGATTATACTGAATACGCTGAGCGTGCTGAATTAAGTTTGATTTGCTGAATTCAGCTGAACATTCTGATTCATTTAAATGTTCTGAATATAGCTGAATATTGTGATTTTTCTGAATTTTCTGAAATAAGCTTAATAATCCGAATAAAGATGAATTCAGCTATCTGTTTTATATTCAGCTGAATATTCGGAATCAGCTGAATTTAACTGAATATGCTGGATATACTGAATATTCAAAATTTAAGCTGAATGTGCTGAATCATGTGAATTCACAAATTTGGCTGAATTCAGTTAAATAATCCGAATTAGCTGAAGTAAAGTGCTGAATTACAAACAAAATTCAAATAATTTTTTAACGGAAATTTCCTAAATATAAGCACATCAACCCCTAAAACTTCTATATCAATACATACGGTAAAGAATGTCTGATGATTCCACTGTGAATAAAAGTCATCGTTAAGGTAATTGAGATATGCCCACCATGCATAATAATGGGAGAAAATTGATAGACAGAATAAAAATGCCATGGAATATCTCAGATGTCTGGATATGAATAATTTCGTTAGATATTTGATACATTCATAAAGTGATATGATTCCTATTACTATCAACAACCATATTTTGAGTGTATTTGTTGTGGCATTAAAGTAAAAATTCTTGTATGACGCAATGCCACTCTCGTATGTTGCTTTAAAGACTGTGTCCCAACATGAACAGGAACAAAATCTTTTGTCCACAAATCTGTCAACAAGGAAATAGATTAAGAGATTGTGGGATGTAAAGAATGCTTGACATACCTTGCATAAGCCTGCCAAAAATACCACAGTACAAAAATATGAACAATTGGAAGCACTGCTGGAAATAAAAACGCAATTGTACCAGGAAAGAGTGAAGAGATTTTGAGCAGCTTTGCTGTTAAGAAAAAAAAAGGATTTAATACAGTACACGTTATAGCTGTAAATTTTTTTATAATCTCACATTTCATATCCACGTGCATCCTTCCGTCCTTAAAACAAAAATGCGTACGAGAAGACTTGCTAGTGAGCTACGTTTTTTTGATATTGTCGTTCCTTGTTTCCATTCAAATTCACTTTTACATCCGTAAAATACCAAAAACTCTTATGCTGCAAAAAAAAGCTGTTGATTGAGAATGAAAAGAACTTTTAATCTTTCAGAATATTGACACATTTTCGACAATGCCTTTTACAATAATTGGATGATGAAAATTATGTAAATATTTATAGCAGCTCAGACATTTCTCATTATTGAAATATTTTAGGTATTCTTTTGAAAGTTAAAGGGGAAAATCGTGAATTTCTCAAGTCTATGCTGAGCTACAAACTAATTAAATTGAGAAGTTCTAGAAGAAAATCATAGAGCAAGGAATGTTTTAATTACAGACAATTTTACAGCATTCCACAATCAAGCGTCTGTGCTATTAAATTTCTGATTTCAAGTCTAATAACACGTGTAATTCAAGTTTTAAGTTAACGTTGGCTTTTCAGTTTGTTTCATCCTTTCAGATGAAGTAATTGCATATTTATTGGTTGTAGTGATTAGAAGACTCGATTTGGATACCATATAAAGTTTGCATAAGTTCAGTTTGAAACCCATTAGAAGCAGTTGATCAGGGAAAGATATTATCAAGGAAAAACTACTGAAAGTAAACGATTCCAAAGCTTAAAATGCTCCGTGTCGCTGAAACCTTTAATTTTGTCTCATAAAGTACTGAATTCACACTGGATAATTGATCAACTCTAATGTCTCTGAGTCAAGTCAATCTGATCTAATTTGTTCAAGATAACATAGAAGATTTGAGTATAGACATCCTCTTAATTGTAAGATTCATCAAATGGCATCTCGTTTAAGCTCTAATAACAGAGAATCAAGCTTTAAAGATACAATTATCATCTACTGCTGCTCAAACTAATCATTAAACATCTCAAAATACAAATTAAAATTGTCACTCGACAGCCATTAAATCACAACATAATGAAACTAGAACTGATTATTATCCAATAAGTTACTGAAACAAGCGTCATAATAATCTTAAGGTTTATCAAGGAAAACAATCAAATTCAATTATTATACTCATTATCATTCAGAACTGTTCTGTAACACATAAAATGGAATTTGAGGAAATTGTTTATGATGTCATTTTTCATACCTTATGAAACTGGATAGAATACATTGAAGCAATCTTCTTCCTTGTATGTTAAAGTTTCAGTTTTTTTAAGGTTGTTTATTGATAATAATGGAAGGAAATAACAAGTTTATTCAGCTATTGAGATTCTTCTTTAAATTCTCTACTTTGAAATTGTGAAAATATTGGAACTAAGTTGTTGAACATGAAAAGTTTTCCGTGAACTGTTTTTTTTGACATTATTGTTAAATGTCAAGTTACTTAAAAGATTCAACAAAACTTCCTGCTCGGATGGTTTGTTAAAGTTTCTGATTGAAGTATTGAAGCGTAATTGAAACCTTGATAGGAACTTATCTCATAGTTTTAATATTTGAATCAAAGGAAAGAAATTTAGAAGGTTCTTAGGATTTCTCTCAAAAGCCATGTTGACGTAAAACTTCAAAAACAGCTTTGACATCTTTATTTCAAGCTACTCGATTTAATGCAGAATTTTACTTTTAAAACTTTGTTTTAAATCCAAAACTCTTCATTGAATGCTCCAGAAGTCATAATTGATAAAACAGCTAGAAATCAGCATATATTACTCAAATATCAACAAAAGTGAAATTCTTACCGAAAATTTAAACTTTGTCTGTGAAAATTTGTATGTTTTTTCAATAAATTATTCAATTAACTCGAGTACTAATTATTCAAGGAAGTAAACAACTTATTCAGCTGGAAGAAACAAGTTCAATTAATCACTTGTAATCACAACTATTATAAAGTAATTAATATAGATCATTGATTCCTCAAAATTACTTTATTCGTAAAGTAACATAAGCAGAACAACGTCCAGTTGACACAAAACAATCAAAATATACAGTCTGTGCGGCATGTATTCATCGTAAAAGCGTGCCTGATTATTTTTAACATTCAATTTAACTTTATGTCGATGTGAATGTTTACATAAATGTTGAGTCAGTTACGCAGTCATATGCTATGACGTTTTGATCTCGCGATTAACATAAACATTTCCTCAAATTTAAACAAATAATAAAATTAGAAGAATGAATCTTTTTGTGAGAAATTGGAAAGTGTAAAGGCCGCAAGGAAATAAACAAAGTAACCGAAGTTTACTCTACTCAGCACCCACATCTTATGAATTTTATTTAAAATTATATGAACTTAAATAAATAATGAATTAAATGGAACAGCACTGACCACACAAACCTCAAAATTTTTCCAAGTGCTTCAACAGACTGCTTATTAAAAAATTAACGGATATAACTTATTAGTTGTGTGCATGATGAAAAATTGAAGAGATAATCTTGTGAATTTAAGCATAAACGGACTTTTATAATTTGAATTAAATAATGAAAACCTTACAACAGTTTCAATTTAACTGTTTTGAACAACTTAATTTTTGAAAACCTCATAACAGCCAGCTTTAGCACCCTAGAAAAGCAACTTTGCCTACAAAACCCTGCAACATCTTCTTCTTCTTTATCTTTATTACCACCCTGCAACATCTTCTTCTTCTTAATTAACTTTATTATAATCCATCAGCTTATTGTTATTTAAAGACCGTTCACAATTCCAGGTAGTTTAATTTACAAATAAACACAAAGAACAATCAATAAAATCCAGTCAACTCCAAATGGTTGACAGAAAACATGCCCGCGATAAGTCAAAACAACAAAAAACCATCGCTAGGCAAAAAATTCCATCCTCATCTGTCGATGATCCAGATCCCTTGATAGTCCTTGCAATTCAACTTGTGATATTCCAAATAGATTCAATTTTTTCTTATGTCTCGATTGTGATCTGTCAATTCAATTAATATGATCGCTGTATTCCGAGATGATCGACTCCTGCTTGTCAATGTTGACTTGTTGAAATCCAGCCAGCACCAATTGATTGATAGAATTGCCCGCGATATATGGGGAAACACACAAAACCCATCGCGAGACAAAATCTCCTCACAATTGACGATAATCCGTTGTATTCCAATAATATTCAATATGTCTAGGTTATGGTTATGATAGAACCTTCTTGTCCACGATTGTTGGTAAAACACAAAAAACCCACGTGAAACAATTGATTCTCCTCACAACTGCCGCCGATCGTGATTTGTCAATGTAATTAAATGTATTCCGATGATGATCAATTCCGTTTTATCTAGGTTATGTGCAAAATTTGCACATTTTTTTTTTTTTTCAATTTCAATTTATATCCAAAATTTAATTAAATCGCGACTTTGCTGAGTTTTCTCCTTGGTATCTTTGTTCTTTGTTACTTTGAAGACAGTTCCCGTAGGTTTGTGACTTATTCCTACGCGTAATTAATTAATTTTGAAGTATTGCACAATTCCACAACCTCCTCATTCGGAGGTTGGGAGAAAACTGACCCTGCAACATCTTCTTCTTCTTTATCTTTATCTTTATTACCACCCTGCAACATCTTCTTCTTCTTAATTAACTTTATTATAATCCATCAGCTTATTGTTATTTAAAGACCGTTCACAATTCCAGGTAGTTTAATTTACAAATAAACACAAAGAACAATCAATAAAATCCAGTCAACTCCAAATGGTTGACAGAAAACATGCCCGCGATAAGTCAAAACAACAAAAAACCATCGCTAGGCAAAAAATTCCATCCTCATCTGTCGATGATCCAGATCCCTTGACAGTCCTTGCAATTCAACTTGTGATATTCCAAATAGATTCAATTTTTTCTTATGTCTCGATTGTGATCTGTCAATTCAATTAATATGATCGCTGTATTCCGAGATGATCGACTCCTGCTTGTCAATGTTGACTTGTTGAAATCCAGCCAGCACCAATTGATTGATAGAATTGCCCGCGATATATGGGGAAACACACAAAACCCATCGCGAGACAAAATCTCCTCACAATTGACGATAATCCGTTGTATTCCAATAATATTCAATATGTCTAGGTTATGGTTATGATAGAACCTTCTTGTCCACGATTGTTGGTAAAATACAAAAAACCCACGTGAAACAATTGATTCTCCTCACAACTGCCGCCGATCGTGATTTGTCAATGTACTTAAATGTTCTTTGGTATTCCGATGATGATCAATTCCGCTTTATCTAGATTATGTGCAAAATTTGCACATTTTTTTCCAATTTTAATTTATATCCAAAATTTAATTAAATCGCGACTTTGCTGAGTTTTCTCCTTGGTATCTTTGTTCTCTGTTACTTTGAAGACAGTTCCCGTAGGTTTGTGACTTATTCCTAAGCGTAATTAATTAATTTTGAAGTATTGCACAATTCCACAACCTCCTCATTCGGAGGTTGGGAGAAAACACCCTAGAAAAGCAAGTTAACCTTCAAAACTTTACAAGATCTTAACATTAAAGCCATACAAATTAGAACGTCTTGAAATTTTTGATTTTACAGAAATACATCATTTACAAACGACCCACAGCAATGAAGATAAAAATCAGCAAAATTTCAAAACTTTGTATTTTACTTCCACAGAAAGATTGCAAAAGTTCACAACTTCTTTTTTCATAAAATAATTATTAACTTCTAAGTACTTCTTCTAAAAACCACAGAATCCTTTTGAGGTTGTGGACTTAAAAATGTTAGAAAAAAAATTGTAATTTACTAATTAGCAAGTCAAATTTACAGCATAAATGTATGAATTTCCATCATGAATATTACAAAAATGTAACAATCAAAGAAATAGCTTACGTCAAATTATGTTGAATCTCTCTTATTATTATTTGAACATTTCATTTCTTCAGATGCACTAGTTCTTCATCAACATTCAAGTCATGATTCTAAGCTGGTTTACTTGTCAATTTATGGGATCTGTTGGATCATTCGGAAATGAAGTCTCTTCAAAATTTAGATTTCAAAGGTACACGGCGGTCCTTACTCTTGTCATAATGAGATATTTCAATTTCAAGTACGAGTAGCCCAGATAGCCAAATGAAGGCTTCAAAATAATTCAAACTCTTTAACATTCCTTAAATATGAC